GTCGACGAGGTACATGTACCTCTTCGACTAGAAGCAAACCCTTCCAGCCGTCCCTTGCCGTCCGTTTAAAGGGCGAGTATCCGAGGATACCCGCTCAGATACCCGCTACGGTCCAACAGATACCCACCAGCGGGTTCGGATGTGGATGCGGATGGTTATTTTGCTGCAAAAAGCAGCCGGATATCCGCATCCGCGCGGATATCTGTTGGAATTTCATCTCTCTCTCTCCTCATCCCTAAAAATCCTGTTCTGTTTAGTCTTTTAATTAATAATGATTAAATAATAGAATTCAATTTATTATACAATTTTTGTTAGTTTCTGCGTGGTATCTTGTCCTGTTGTCTAGTGCTGCAATCCTTGTAGTCTTCGAACCCTGGTCTAGTCTTTATCAATAGTCATTTGCTCCAGTCATCTATTCAAGAATTTGTTTATTTTTTGTTATTCATTATGATATTCATTCTTTCTCTCAACCACATGTTTGACCTCTTGTATGTAGACTATTTAACGCGTAGTCTCCTCTAAGTAAAAAACTCATTGGCTCTCTCATTCTTTTCCCGACCCTTGAGTCAGTCCAACAAAATTCATTTTTGTTGCCCCCAAAATTTTTCTCTCAAAAATTCTCCGCGTCTTCGGTCACAATTTCTTCAATATCCGGATGCGAATTGACCATCTCTAATGCAGTCACAAAGAAGTTATGGTAGGTGATGTTACAAGGAGGAAAATTCAAGGCAACAACTGGTGTAGTTTGACAATGTTACAGACCATTGGATTTCCTCACCAATTTGAGAAGTTACACAACCTGACCATTTGAAAATTATGAAAACAATTACAGCAATCATTTTTGGCCATCAAGGCTTTTCAAACTGCAGTGTAAATTAGTGTGAAATGCTGAAATGTTACAGGATACTTAGAGCATCTCCAGCAGAGCCGCGACTGGGTGATTTTCAGCCCAAATCAGCGGCTCGCGGGAGAATTTCGGGGTCCAGCAGAGCCGCAACTAGACCCGCAACTGATCGCCCCTCACCTCGCCCCCGGCTATAAACCCAAGGCAATAGCCGCCGTGGCAGAGACCGGCTACTTGCCCCTTGCTGGGTTTTTCTTACAACACACCCACACAACACCTACCACAAGACTTGATCCACCACTTCAGAACCTAGCTACACCTCCCCCAAAGCAGTCGCTAGTCATCTACGATAGCTTGGCGACTTGGCCAACCGCCCCCTGCTATCTATTGCCAGTCTGCTGTGGGAGCAGTGTGACAGAGGTGAGACAGGGGTGTGAAATGCGGTCGCAGGCCGCTATTCGGTAAGGCATGACCCCGAACCACGGGGTTCAGGGTTTTGCCCAAATCCAAACCCCGGGGTTCAGGACTCGGGATGGCATTATGCAAAACCCCGGAACCCCGGGGTTTTGATAAATCATAGGGAAACCATTGAAGTGGCTTAAAAAACAGCTTGCTTCTGTAGCTGACAAGTCCCAGTCCTTGGGACTCCCAAGGACTGTCTGTAGAGGGTCGCCGGAGTTGAGAGTTTCATTCTATGGCCGACCGGGCCCTCCAGCCCGTTTTTTCCCTGTGTATTCTTTGGGAGTCGGCAGGAGTTGGCTAGGTCTGGGGAGTTGCTCGGCTACTGACCAGCCAAAGATGTGCTTTATTCATCTTGGCTGGTTGGTACAGCCAACCGGCAACAGTGCTTTCCTCCCTGGCTGGTTGGTACAGCCTGTGCCAAACAGCCAAGGAGAGGCACTTTTAAGTTCTCGGCTTGTTGGTGCAGACTCACATACCGACCAAGATGGATTCTGGAGGATCCTCTTTGACCGGTAAGTGAGTCTGTAACCAGCTGGCGAGGGTACAGACTGCGTCAATCAGCCAAGAAGAGTTTTTCCTTGGCTGGTTGACCGGTCGAAGAGGATCAACACCGCACCTGAAAAAAAAAATCAAGACCCCGGGGTTCCGGGGTTCAAGCCCTGAACCCCGGGGTTCGTTCCTCGGGACTGGCCTCAGACCCCGTCCCAAACCCCGGGACCATGCCTTACTATTCGGGCAGAAATCGACCCCGGCTCTGCTGGAGATGCTTTTACTAGCTACAGGACCCAGGAAAGCCGCTATAGAACACAGTAACCAAAATGTATGAATTTTTGGTCAAAAACCAAAAAAGGTACTCACCCCAAATGTATGAATTGCTGTTTTTGCCCAGAAAGGTACTCACCTCAAATGTATGGATTTTTCACCAAAGAAGGGGAGGTAGTAACCAAAGGTGTATGAAAGTCACAAAAATTTTGGCCACAATGCTCCCCAAGGCCACCCTTCTAACTTGAAAGCCCAGGCTCAATGCTTTGAAGGGCTGATGTGTAGTTCAGAGGGATTATTTGCACCAGCAACTAGACCCCTTGAAGTGAGAGCTGGTGTATGGTTAGCTTCTCCCCCTTTTTTGCCTCTTTTACCCCTCCCCCCCCTCCCCCCTGTGCAGAAGGTAGGCACCAAAAATGCATGAATTCTCATGGAAAGTGGTGAACCTACGCACGAAATGTGTATGAATGGGCTCAAAAAATGTATGAATTTTTCAAAAATCCTGGTTTTTTGGTTACTGTGTTCCATAGGGGTTTTCCTGGGTCCTCTAGCTACCTAACTACATGGTTCTGCCTTGGTGTATCAAAGTTATGGATTTCATGCACACAGCTTTTCCATTTCTGGCCAAGCTTCCCGGCAAAAATCATGTTGATCAACAATCACCCCGTAATTTGAGAATCATTAACCTATTTATGTAACAGGTTACAGCAGTGATTTGTTGGCAACTTTCCATTGATGCCTTCACAGATATGTAGATAATGCAAACATTTGTCAATGTGATCCAAATGTTGAACAATTTGGTGCTCTCCGACTGTAAATAAATACATATGTTTATTTAAGAAGGTTTCAGATGAGAACCCAACAAGGTTACACCGTGTTGGCTGCCAAGACTCAGCTCTGTGGCCGATACCGTTATCGTGTTTGTACATATCCCTTCAACATTCGCCGATTGAGGTAACCCAGGGCAAATAAAGAGGATACATATGCAACCCTTTGGTTTCGCCGGAGTTCCCCAGAATGGCAGGCTGTGGCAGGGTCCATGTCGAGCCTTCGAGGCGCAATCCCACTACATATTTACATAAAAAAACGTTGTAGCCAAGTTACTTGATAGGGCCTCTTGCGCGTGAAAGAGATCAACGGAGAGTGAAGACTCAGCCTGACTCCGACAGTTCCTTCATGTGAAAGATTGCGACAGCTTAAGCTAATCCAACGTCTTCAAAACTCAGCGGCCTGTTCGTCGTCCCCCAGGATCCCAGAAGGGCTATTCAGTCGGAGTATAAATTCATCCAGTTGGCCATCCCCGGACCCCTCATCTTGACGACCCCAAAAGGATCTAATCAGCTTGAAGGCGGAGTTTCCTTGAAGACTTCGATTTGAACTCAATCCACAACTTGACTCTTGCGTTCGTCTCGTCTCTTCCGACTCACAATCTTCCACACAAGGATCCATCGGTCATGGCTTTTGATCAATCGCTGCACTACTACGGTCAAATCCAACAGCCGATTGGATTTGACTTCCAAGCATCACCACTGCCATCTGCGAATTACCATCCACCATCTCTTACCGGGGTTCTCAAGAATGTATCTACTACCACTCGAGGCGCGACCACTCCGGGCAGATGTTCGCTATCCTATCATGCCGACGATCCCTTCTCGGTCTGGAATCCGTTCGATCAGTCCCGCTTCGATCTCACGGTTTGCTTCAAGTATTCGCTCTACCTCATCCCGTTCTTAGTCATCCTCGTCAATGGCTCGCTCGATCTCTACAAGCTCTCCTCCCGGCCGGTCATCCCACCCAAGTCGACCAGCCGAAACCTAATCAGGCTCTCCGAATTGACTTACATCAGCAAATTACTGCTGATCCTCATTGTCTCGGTCATCCAATTGGCTTACTCGACACTCCTCTTCCTCCGATCTGGCTGGTGGGATCCCGTCGAGTGTCTCTCCCAGCTCGTGGTCTTAGTCAGCCTGTTGTATGCGATCCCATTACATCATCTTTCACACCGGCGATCCAAGCGGTCATCAACCAGTCTGCTGTTCTTCTACCTCTTCTTCCTCATCACCTCGGCCATCGAACTTCGCTCTCACCTCGACCACTCCTTACTTCACCAGCACCCTCATCAAACCAGCTTCCTCATCCTCAGATCCTCACTGGTCACCGCCCTCTTCATCCTCGAGTGTCTCGGACCATTCAAGTATGGTGACCACGCCTTCTCTTTCGGTAAGGATGGCTACGAGGCTTTACCCCAGGACGACCCAGCGCGAGCAGGTTCCGATCAGGCCTACCACCGCTCGGAATCGCCGTTGATTTATGCGAACGTGTTCTCTCGGCTGACGTTTGGATGGATGACGCCGATGATGAAGCTGGGGAAGAGCCAGTATTTGACTGAGGACGACTTGTGGATGTTGCCACGGGAGGACCAGACTGATGCCCTGACAAACCGACTCCACCAAACCTGGAGACGCCAGATATCACGAGCTTCCTCAAGTCCATCGTTGATCCGAGCCGTCGCACAAGCTTACGGTGGACCCTATCTCCTCGCAGCCCTCTTCAAGCTCATTCAGGATGTCCTCCAATTTACTCAACCGCAACTCTTGAGGCGCCTGCTTAGCTTTGCCGATTCATTTTCGCCAGGCAACCAACCCGAGCCGGTCTATCGTGGCTACATGATCGCTGGGCTCATGTTTAGCTGTGGGCTTATCCAGACTTTATTCTTGCACCAATACTTCGATCGAGTCTTCGTCACTGGGATCAGGGTCCGTTCTGGTTTGATCGGGGTAATCTATCAGAAATCCTTAGTCCTTTCGAATGAGGAAAAGTCCGGCAGAGCCACGGGGGATATCGTTAATCTGATGTCAACAGACGTCAGCAGGATCCAAGATAGCTGTTCCAACGGATTAATTCTCGTCTCGGGCCTATTCCAGATCACTTTGGCTTTCATCAGCCTGTACGATATGCTGGGATGGCCTATGTTGGGTGGAATTGCGGTGGTACTCTTGAGTATTCCACTAAACATCGGTTTGGCCAGGCTTCAGTCAAGGCTACAGAAACTGCAGATGAAGAACAAAGACTCACGAACCAGGTTGATGAACGAGATACTGAATAACATCCGCTCGTTGGTCATCTTTCCCCGTTGTGTCCAATTTTCCTGCTCAAAACACAAAACTGAACTCGATTTTTTCTTCCCCTCACTCGCGCGCCAGGATCAAGCTTTATACTTGGGAGAACGCATTTACGAGCAAGTTGTTTGCCATTAGGAATGAAAGGGAGCTAGGTACACTGAGAAAAATCGGGTATCTGTCTAGTGCTAGCATCTCATTATGGAATTTGTTTGTCATTATTTCTTTTTGTTGCCTCAAAAAATTTCCAAACTAACGTACCTTATTCTCCTTGTAAAACACAGCATTCCATTTTTGGTGGCCTTCTCAGCATTTTCGATCTTTTCACTCGTTAGTGACACGCCGTTGACGCCTGCCCTAGTCTTTCCAGCAATCTCTCTTTTTCAATTGTTGCAGTTCCCTTTGGCCGTTTTACCGATGGTCATCAACCAATGGGTAGAAGCCTATGTTTCAGCGAATCGAATTTGCAAGTTTTTGACAAGTAAGGAACTCCAACAAGATGCCGTGGTGCGATCTGAAGGCGCCCTCGATGAGCACGCGCTACGCGTCGAGGTCAAGGACGCCCACTTTACCTGGTCTTCTGGGGCCGATTCCACACTTTCGGGGATCACTCTCAGCGTGCGTAAGGGAGACCTCTTGGCTATAGTTGGTCGCGTCGGCTCTGGGAAGTCCTCTTTGCTCGCTGGAATTCTAGGGGAAATGTACAAGCTATCAGGGACAGTTGAGCTGCGAGGTAAAGTGGCTTATGCCGCCCAAACTCCTTGGTTACTTTCTGCTACCTTGAAGGAGAACATTCTGTTTGGAGCCGAATACAATAAGGAGCTTTACGAGAGCGTGATCGAAGCGTGTGCACTGGTAGACGATTTGGCTATGCTGAAGGACGGTGACGAAACTCAAGTTGGCGAAAAAGGAATCGCTCTCTCTGGAGGTCAAAAAGCCAGAATCAGTCTAGCCAGAACAGTCTATGCGCGAGCCGATGTCTATCTGCTGGACGATCCGCTCAGCAGCGTCGATGCCCATGTGGCGCGCCATTTGTTCGACAAAGTGATCGGCCCTACTGGCCTTCTCCGCAGCAAAGCAAGAATCCTATGCACAAACGCGATCCCCTTCTGCCAACAAGCTGATGAACTAATCATGGTCCGTGACGGGAAAATTGTGGAACGCGGAACGTTCCAAAGTGTGCTCGCAAACCAAGGTGACTTGAAGAAACTGATCGACGACTTTGGCAAGAACACGTCTCAGGATGACATATCTGAAGATCTCAAGCCCTCTGACGCAACCATTGTCGCTTCAGAGAACAGCAGCAAATCACGCCAGGAGTCTGTTGTGCTGATGAGACGACCATCCATCACAGCGTCTAAAAATAACCAGAGGCAAGTCCTGAAGACTCGCAAAGCTCCTGGCAAAGTTTCGGAACATAAGGAGAAAGGCTCGGTCAAATACGATGTTTACAAAACCTACTTACGAGCAAACGGTGTGTTTGGTGTGGGGATTGCATTGGGCTCAGTGGTAGTACAGCAAATCCTTTCTTTGACGACTACTTTATGGCTCAAAAACTGGAGCTCAAGTAATCAGACTCTCACGGATGATGGTGGACCTCACCTGGGATATTACTTAGGAATTTACGGATTGCTGGGTTTCCTCACCAGCGTAACGGCTTTTGTCAATGGAGTTACTCTATTTTCAATTTGTGCGGTTCGAAGTGCTAAGGTTTTGCACGACCAAATGTTTGCTAAGGTCTTGAGGGCACCAATGTCTTTCTTTGATAGTTCAGTGATCATTCATATCCATTCGATCATGTCTTCAGGCTCTTGGATACTCAAGTGAATTCGATACTGACTTACTATTCCATTTTTGACCGTTTCTTTAGCCACACCTGTTGGCACGATCTTGAATCGATTTTCCAGGTGAGGCACAACACTCATGCTTTCTCCCTTCATGATATTCAAGGACTAATGTTTTGATTTGTCAATATGATAGGGATGTGTTTGTTATTGACGAAGTGCTTGCTAGAGTCTTCAGTGGATTTCTCCGCACTACCGCAGGTCAGCTTCCCACCCTTCCCTCACAAGCAAAAATGACTACATAGTTGTATTGAAATTTACGTCACTTCTATCCCACAGGTGTTGTTAGTGTTGTCGCAGTAGTGTCGTGGGCCGTGCCACCATTTCTTCTGGTTTGCATACCTCTACTGTTGATTTACAAGGGTATCCAGTCATATTATCTTGCCACCTCACGAGAAATTAAACGGATTGATGCGATTACCAAGTCCCCGATTTTCGCCATGTTTGGTGAGACATTGACAGGCGTTGCCACGATCAGAGCCTTTGGGGAACAAGTCAGCACATCATATTCTACCTGATTATCTTCAATCATTTTCACTGATTTCTTTCTTTCATCCAGGGTCGATTTGTTACAGAAAATGAGACCAAAGTGGACCGCAACCAGGAAGCTTGTTTTGCTTCAATTGGTGCAAACCGTTGGCTGGCTGTTCGGCTAGAATTGATTGGGAATGTGATGATCCTTACCGCCGCGTCCTTGGCAGTTACAAGTCTAGTAGCCAGCAAACCTCTCGATAGCGGAATGGTCGGGGTCTTGATGTCGTATGCACTTTCAATTACGCAATCGCTTAATTGGCTTGTAAGAAGCGCGACCGAGGTTGAAACAAATATTGTGTCTTGCGAGCGAGTTGTCGAATATACCAAGTTGAAGCAAGAAGGACCTTGGGAGACAGATGAGCACCATCGACCAAACCCTAGTTGGCCGGAAAAAGGAGAGATCGTATACGAGGGTGTAGAATGTCGGTACCGAGATGGGTTGGATTTGGTATTGAAAGGTGTCGACTTCAAGGTCCAAGCTCAAGAGAAGATTGGAATCTGCGGTCGAACGGGGGCTGGAAAATCAACAATTACTCTGTCTTTATTCAGATTGATTGAAAAAGCCGCAGGAAGAATTCTAATCGACGGCGTGGATATCAGTCAAATTGGTTTGAACGATCTGAGATCGAAGATATCAATCATTCCTCAAGATTCGCAGTGCTTTGAGGGTAGCTTGAGAGCCAACCTGGATCCTGAAGGCTCGAAAACAGATGAAGAACTGTGGAAGGTGCTTGAGCATTCAAAGCTGAAAGCTCACATTCAATCCTTGGTAAGATTTAGACAGACCACTACCACAGTCTACAAATCCCTGAACTGAGTTTATTATTTTTTTCTTTCTACCCTTTCAACCATCAGGAGGGCGGACTGGATGCAAGGATCGAGGAAGGCGGAAATAATTTGAGTAATGGTCAACGACAGTTGTTATGTTTAGCAAGGGCAATGCTATTGAAATCGTCCAAGATCTTAGTGATGGATGAAGCTACCAGTTCGGTGGATCCTGAAACAGATTCGGATATCCAGACGGTGATCAGAAATGAATTTAAATCGTTTACAATCTTAGTGATTGCCCATAGATTGAAGTAAGTCGATTCTGGTCTATTTCATCTCATCTTGCCTGCCCGCCCTCAACCTTTCTGACTTGTGCTGTACTCCTCATTACAATGAATAAAAATTAGTACAATTTTGGATTGTGATAAGATCTTAGTGATCAATAAAGGGAAAGTAGTCGAATTTGATTCGCCTGAGAACTTGATGAAAAACAAAGAATCCGAATTTTGCAAGATGTGTCAGGAAGCTGGATTGATCGATTAACGAACATATGCACACACCCTCATCACCCATCCAGCCAATAAAATCAATCCTATTCATCTATCAACTGCAGACAGTCCATTTTTAATTCTTCCCCTTGTTAGAATCAGAATTTTCATCACTATGATTAATCACACTCATATATGTAAAAGTTAAACAACTAAAAATCAAGAATCATAGCAATTTTAGTAAGCCCACAGATTTGCTTTTCCACCTGCTCCCATCCTTCACATCTTTTTCACCCTTCTCCAATCTTCTCTTTCTCTTCATGTTTGTTGTTTGATGAATGTTTTGGAATGATTATCTACATACACCACGGGGCGGGTTTTTAGAAAACCTGTACATCCAATGGATGTTTTCTGAGCAAGAGCGTCCTTTGGACGCTATGAAAGCATCCAAGGGATGCTCCAGTGCCCCAAGCATCACTTGGATGCTTTGGAAACCATCCAAGTGATGCCTGGTGGTCAAGACCATCCTCTGGATGGTAAAAAATAACCATCCATTGGACACTCTCAATCAAGAGTGTCCAATGGACACTTTTGAAAGTGCCTAATTTTCACTTTACAGGTGGGGTGGTTGATGGTTGAAAAAACAGGCTAAAATGCAGTTGATTGTCAAAAATTCATTCCAAAATGCACATGACTTGGGGGGGTCAAAAGTCTAAATTAAGCCAGAAAATTAACTTTGCATAAAAATTTGGAGTTATGTGCCATTCAGGTGGTGAATCCATAAATCTGATATAGTCGACTTGGTAAGGACTGTGGTAGTGCATCACAATGATGCAGGTAGGTTGTGGGTTCAAGCCCAGTATGGATGTGATTTTTTTGAGGTTTGCCCTGCCAGAAAACCACCCAATGGATGGTTTATTCCAAAACGTCCATTTCAAGGTTTTGAGAGTGCCATCCATAGGATGGTCCTTGCAGAGCCATGGAAAACTGGTCAGACAACCATCCAGCGCACCGACCAAAAGTTGTCCGGAACGACCCGTGGTGTATGTGTCTAGATACTCAAGACACTAGATTTTTCCCTTATTGGAATAACATTTTTGCAATCCAATTTCTGCTTTGGATTATATCATCTGGGGCCTTTGACTTGAAGAATTCTCTTGTCAATATCTAGGGGCAAGGCAACATGGGGTAGTTACATTACGGTAATGGTAGTGTCAAGATAAAGTAGTGAGTTTCCACTCATTATCATTACTTTCCCCACAATGTTTGGAAATTGTTTGCACATTACATTATCCATTTTGCCTTGGAATTTTTTTTTCATGCACCTTACACTATCAGCAACTTGTAGATTTTTTTTTGAAAAAAATCCATAAATATTAGTTAAATATTACAGCCAAACTGAGAAAGCTTGCGGTCTCGGTTGGCAAAAAAAAAAGAAAAACGTTGTCCGAAGCTGGAATGTTTGGAAGACTACACCACCCTGTATGCCGACTTGCATACAGGGTTTACTTTTGATTCTTTTTGCTATCTTTTTGATCACTTGACTTCAGCTCATGAGGGTATTACCATCGGAATCCTGATGGCAATCTTGGTCAGGCCTGGTCTCAACATGTTGTTCCCCCTGCCTCAGCCCCCCAGCACAGTGGCCGGCCGGGTCCCGTCGCTGATGCCAGCGAGCATTCTGATACCTGTACACTCAATGTATTCTTCCAAAGCTTCGGACTCCAGATAATGTTTTTTTTTTATTAGAAATTCTGCCAACCGAGACCGCAAGCTTTCTCGGTTTGGCTGTAGTAAGACATGTGATACTTTTTGGACATTCATGGCATGTGTTGCTGCCAAAGCCCAAAAAGAGGGTTTTTTTGCCACTTGAAATGGTTAAGGGTTTCTTAACCTCTGGATAATCTGATAATGCATTACTTCATCCATCCATTACACACAAAAACTTCACCATTACACCCCAGGCGCAGTTCAATGTGGTCCAACACCACTTTTGCGTGTGGATCCCACAAGTGGCCACTGCAGCGGGTCGGACCAGCAGCTGAAGGTCTACAGTTTTCTGTGGACTCCACCCCTGAATCCATGTTGGCACCAGGTGGACACAAGGTGGTGTCCCCGTGGAGCCTGGATTAACCAAACTGTAAGTTTGGGTGCCACCAGCCAGCCTGCCAAAAAAAGCACCCCGGCGTTGCGGTGGTCCAGGCTGTTGTGCGCAACAAAACTGCCAAAACCCCTACCTTATAACCTAAACCACTTACATATATGAATATATTATTGCATAATCAGAATCTACATACAACTTTACCCATAGTCACTCACTACAACTATACCTCTATCTCTATTAGTTTAGAAGATCATCCAATATAAAGGTTAAAGCCATACCATAACTAGTCATTAATTAGTATTTAATAGTAGTTTACCACATATATATAATTACATACACATAAATTATTACATCAGCAGGCCTCCACCAGTAGTGCAGAGCAGTTATGCAACTCTTGCATGCATATGTGCAACCATTAGGCCTCTACTTAGTAACTCAAATTAAATGCACGCAGATTTTACATGAATGCATGTGGACAGAAAACCTCCACCAGGCAGTGCAACCAGTTTATGCAATCCTTACATACAGTAGTACCATATTTAGTTATTTCCACAGCATAATTAGCTTTGTCAGGCTTATGCTACTTACAATAAAGAATCATAGTGCTATAACTGTAGACTATAAATTGACGAGATGAGAGAAGATTAGTTCAATCAAGGCTCAGTTCAAAAGTGCGCTTGAGGCTTACTCGAGCTTCCTGTAGCTAATATCCAGGGCAATCCAAACAGCGACAGCTCATCAAGATGGGAATGAATAGTGACTGGTAACAAGCAATAGATAACAGACCAGTGTTACCAAGGCTTGTACCGGAAGGCTGAGAGTTATAGGCAATAATAACTAGAATAAAGTGTAAAGGAATCTTTCAATACAAGAGGTATTTCTAAAAGGTTATATCTTTTTAGTGAATGCTCTTTGGATTGGGTGATTTTTTTATCTCTTTATTCAATTGGTAATTTTTGCTGGGGAAAAAGAGAAGAGCTCTCCTTCTTTGCTCAAGCTATCTCTGTAAGTATTCTTAGCTTCCATTTTGGGGTTATCCCTAAAAAAAAAATTATGAGATCATAGTCCAATTTTAATTAAGGGTCCTCTTAGACTGAGGTAGCCTGCTTGCTTTAAGAGATTCTTTACTCAGCAGGTTTGTATTTATGTTTATCTTATATACTACAAACAATACCAGTTTTGCCCCAGGAAAAAATGCGAACTTGGGTGGTGGAAAATAGATCAATTTCCCTGAGGCTTTTTCACAAAATGACTCAGGGAGTAAAAATTAGGCTAAAATGAGCAATTTTAGCCCAAAAATAAAAATGCCTCAAACATTCCAAAATTATTTTTAGGTCATTTGAGGCATTTTTATTTTTTGGCTAAAATAGCTCATTTTAGCCTAATTTCTACTCCTGAGTTACTTTGTAAAAAAGCCTCAGGCAAATTTTTCTATTTCCCACCACCCAAATGGTAATTTTTTCCTGGGGCGAAAGTTGAAACTGGTATTGTTTGTAGTGATACAAACCTCCACTTGTTTGTTCACCTGTTGGTGATCTCATCAACTTACTGTCTTACTTTGCGTTGATAATTTTTTTGTTCTACATTATTTATGTTTTATTCTTATCACATCTTAATTGATATTTTATACTATTTGTCACAGTCAACAGTGTCACTACATGTGTCACACTCTTGCCTGTTGACAAGCTTAATGCATGTACTCTTTGCAGGAGGCAGTGCAACCCACAAGGTCACCACCAGCAAAATCACCTCAACTGCATCACCACCAGCAAAAATAACTCAGAAAGGAATATATAAGGAGGCCTCTCCTTCACCAATTCCTCCCATCATCACCCAGCCAGTTCATACCCAACTAGCTCAGTGATCAACACCATCATCACCCAGCCAGCACAGTACCCAGCCAGCTCAGTGGTCATCAACATTAAGGTCTAGTCAACACCAGTAACAAAAACCACATCAAAATCAACATCAACAACAACAACCCACTTCACTACTTATCCAGAATTACCATAAAACCATAAAAACCCATACAATATTCCACTTGGATTGTTTTCAACGCATATTCAATGTGTAAAGGTTGTAGAACCATCTTGTATAGTATTATGGTCTTGAAAGCCCGTCTGGGCACAATCTCAAGTCCCGCGTGTCCGAGTGCCACCAGGGGTTTAGATTGTGCCCGGAGGGCTTGATCGGACAGGATGGGCGGGGGGCAGGACTCGGCACATAGCCAAGTCCCGCTGGGCCGATTGGTAACCTGTGCACCAGCCTGGCACTGGACCCCGACTCAGCAGATGGCCTTCTTGGGGGCCGGCATGTTGGCGGGTGTGGCACCCTTGCTTGATTTTGGCCAAGCAAGGCTTTGTCCCGACCCCCGCCAACTTTAGCATGTGCCAAGCGGGGGTTGGGATGGTGCCACGCACGCTTTGGGATTGGCCAAGCGGGCTTTGGGATTGGCCCAGTGCGCTTGGCCTTTTTTTGACCAAACTTTGGTGTGTGCCGTGACGGGCTTGCAACACCATACATACTGATCTAGGTCTGATAGAGACTACTACATATAAGTTTTCTCCATCATAAAGTTATGCCACAAAAATAAATTAAATTGTTGTCAGAATTCTTGTGTAGTAAATAGAGGGGCAGGTCTTTCAAACCACCCATAACAGTAAATATTACCTAGTGAAATATCATATTGTTATTTCCCCCTCAAGGACTGCCAACCCATCCCAAAGGAGTTCTCACAGCGCAGATCAAACATGTGACCTGATGCAAGCACCAAGCACCAGTGCTTCACCACTCAGCCAACAACAAGTTGAAGGTCTTGCCCCTTTTCCGCACCACACAGGCTCACCCCACTCCTTTTTTTAACTCATGACAAAAAAGTTTGTCAAATTTTTCTTTTTTTTCAATTTTTTTACAAACCAGTTTTCTTGAGTTTTCAGAATCTCAGGACCCACATCAGCGGGTCCTGATTGGAGCCAAAACAAATTTTTGTTGGCATGGAATTGGTGTGATTAACAAGCCCGCCTGCTCCACATTGGCTTGGATGTGGGTTTGTGGAATCAACATCAAAAAAAAGTCGGGTTGTGGAACTGCTGTCGGGATCGGCTCTTACCAAACACTTACAGAGCCAATCTGGTTGGTTCCACGGAGTGACAGTGATCCATGGGATTCACAATTGGGCTTGGCAGGAACTACCCCCCAGGTGTACATTACTGGCTGAAAGAAAAATTTGCCACTACAGATAATGTTAATGTATCAGCAAAAGAATCAAGTGCACTACATTACTAAGATAATGCAGATAACACAGTGTAAAGTAGCGGCCCAGTGTTGGACAAGGCCTAATGTGATTAAAAGTGGCAGTTTTTTTGTTTCAACTTGTTTCCTTGCAAGTCACTGTATGTAACCTATTAAGGGTGAATACATTGGGCTGGGCAGCCAACAAACCACTCAACCTGTATTATTGGATTGTGCTTAGGCTTTGAATTTGATGAGTTGCCCGCCACTTGAATAGACTAACATCCAGTGGGATTGCAGTTATTGAACAAAAATCTAAGACACAGTACTTTACTGCTCAAGTGTTGAAGCTAACAATAATGAGAATTACTGTTTAAAAGAAAGCAATACAATAACTTTTATTGTTTTGTCCTCAGACTGGAGATAAAATAACCAGTTTGGACCATGGCAATTTCTGCAATACACTAACATTGGCCAATAGTGTTAGTGTAGCGCAGTGGCCCATTCTTGATGGGAGGCTTCCAGAAATTAATCCTGGATTGTCTTTCAGAAAGGCTGGAGCATCATTACTCCATTTTGAATTGGCTTTGTTATGCATTAGGCAGCCAACACACTCAATCTTTTTAACTGTGGCCAGCAGATCCACAGGGTCTGGATACCTAGTATGGTGGGTGGACCATTGTTTTTGGCTGCTTGTTTTGGATTCCAGAGCTTAAAAGCACACCCCTGAAGTTGAAGTCATGAGACTTGGCCAAGTGGTAAAGAATAGGTCTCAAAAAATGAATATGAAATAAATAAAAACATAAATACAAAGTTTCAAAATTTGCAAAAAATGAAGGTTAAAATTGAGTTTTTTTTTTTCAAAAGCTTTGATTCTAATATTGGTGGAGTTGGCCTGTTAAGAGAAATACAGAATGGAACATTGTAAGAATGATTATAAATGAAAATTTTGGAGAAAATGGTTATAGCCAGATGGCTTTAAACAGCTGTTGAGTGGGGCATTCACCAGCCCACATTGTAAGAAAACAGTAGAGCTGGGGCCTGTACCATAGTTTACCAAAATTCAATTTCTCAGAATTTATTTTCCTCAAATTTTCATATCATCAAAAGTGACCATTGCCAACAGCCAGTTTTTGGCCTAAAAGTGAAGAATTTCAACAACAGATCTCTCTGCTTGTTCTCATTTTCTGTGTAGAGGATAGAAAAGATGAAAAATTTTCAAAATTGAGTCCCATTGCACAGACCAACTATTTTGACTCCAATCTGGACCACCAACCTGGCTCACCCTTTTTTGGTTCCAATTTTTTTCATTAAAAATCTTAGAATGAACTATTAAATAAAGCAAACCCCTCCCCAAAAAAATAACCCCACATTCTTTTGTTGACTGTCCTCTTTCTTTTTTTGAATCAGACCCATTCATTTCTGACCTTTTTTGGCCCATTTTGTTTTGGAATTATTTACCCACTTGTGCTCTGCTCTTCAAGTTGCATTCACCCTGAATTCACCATTTTTATGGTATCAAGATTTGCCTCTTCTTTGTTGAGGTGATGGGGGCATCATCTAAGTTGAGGGTGGATTTGGTAAGCCAATCTTGAATAAGGGGCCAACAAAACCAAAAAATCAAGCACAATAACAAAGGAGTAAAAGACCCTCAAGGACAAATCCAAGCCCCACATTGAATGTCAATTAATCTGTAACACCAAGGATTTCACAGGACCAAGCCCCAATACATAAGACAATTTTGATTCCCCATCTCATTTGTATATTAAATAAGTGTCTCATGCAGCCTCACATCATCAATCCCCTTTCAGACTTCCACACTTGGCCTCTTCAAGTTCAATCTAATCAAATTTCTCTCTAGTCTTATTTCTGCTTTAAGGCACATTTAAAGATGGCCCACAGAGCCAGGGTACTTTCCGCGGGTGTGGGTACCCCCCCCCCCCCAAAAAAAAAGAAATGACCAAAATAGACACCTGCTGGGCCGGTACTCCCCAGGTACCTGCCTGTTTTTTTTTTTTTGGTAAAAGCTGGACACCAGCACCCACAAGTGGGTACTGGGTACCCATGGGCAATCTTTAGCCACATTTCTAACCCGCACTTCAATTTCAATTGGAGTGTGGTCCCACACTCCCTTCAGAAAGGGAGTGTGGGAGTGTGTGTGCAAAGGGGGGTGGAGTGTGGTTATCACTCCCCGGATAACCGCCAGTGCCAGCGGGTGCGGATTTGGGTGCAGATGTCCTTTTCCGCCCAAAAACCTGGCGGATATCCGGGTATCCCAAGGATACCCGGTGACAAGAGAGTGAAAATGTTTTTTTACCAAAAAAAAGGAAAAAAAACTGGCCCCCCTTGGCCTAGAGAGCAGAGGTCATGTCTCCGGGAGGAATCCCTCCTGGCAAGCTGGCACACAATCCAGCTCACCGGGGAGGGATTCCTCCCAAAGAGCTGGTGTACAGCCCCTTGACAGAAAAAATGGAACCCTTTAATTGGAGTCTAGAGGTTAAACCAATGACATGAAATTTATGCAGTCTGGTGAAACTGTAGAAAATGAGTTCCAAAGAATGATTCTGAAAAGTTGGAGAGAAATGTCTTTTGTAAAATTGTTGTAGAATTTTTCTCATTTTTTTTTTACTTTTTTGGGTATTTTTCAACCATTTTTCAAAGTATCTCAAAAAATCAAGATCAACATAATTGCATGGCAAAAGAATAATTATAAATGAAAATTTGAAGAAAAATCATCAACAGCTGTTATTAAAGAGGTCTGGAATGTGTCATCCACCAGCCCAACCCTGCAATCAGGCACTGAAATCAGATTTAATTTCAATCTCAGTCCAGTTTCTTCTGCTCTCCAAACATTGGATCATTATTTTTTTCCATTTTTCATTTATAATCATTCTTTTCAGATGTGATTGTTTTGCTCCTGATTTCTGGAGCTACTTTGAAAAATGATTGAAAAATACCAAAAAAGTCAAAAAAATGAGGAAAAATATACAAGTTTTTTACAAATCATTTTTCTATCCAACTTTTCAGAATCATTCTTTGGAACTCATTTTCTACAGCTTCACCAGGAGGCATAAATTTCAGTCCATTGGTTTAACCTCTAGACCCCAATCAAAGGGTTCCATTTTTTCTGTCAAGGGGCTGTACATACCAGCTCGCCGGGAGGAACCCCTCCCAACAAGCTGGTGTACATACCAGCTTGCCGGGAGGAACCCCTCCCGACAAGCTGGTCTAAAATCCAGCTCACCGGGAGGGATTCCTCCTGACAAGCTGGTTTAAAATCCAGCTTGCCGGGAGGAGCCCCTCCCAACAAGCTGGTACACAGACCAGCTCATCAGAAGGGAGTCCTTCTGATGCGCGTTTGCCCACCAGTAAAAGGGCGGGTATCTGCGGATACCCGCCAGCGCCAGCAAGTTTCAGCTGGCGGATGCGGATGCCTGTTTCCGCTGAAATTTTCAGTGGATATCCTGATTTGAATCAACCATCTCTATCCTTTTTTTCCATTTTTTACATCCCCTTTCAACCCACAGTTTGGCCACCCCCCATATTTGTCCATATAAGCAGCCTTGTTTTTCCTATTCATTTGTCCCCCATCAGATCCTGAGCCAGTAATTCAGATAACTTATCAACTATCATTAACCAGGTATATGTCCATCAAAATTTGGTATTACTTGATTTATGAACAGTGTTAATAAGACCAGTAGAAATAAGACATTTTAGACATAAATCACTCAAAAAATCTCCATAAACACACCTATTATTCAACAGTCCATTCCAGCCCATTAAAGCACTATTCCCGCTCAAGCTCTATTCATCCCAAAGAGTAGTTCCACACCTGGTACCTGCTGACATCTCTAGACTCTCAGAAAAGTCTTTGAATGTAGACTGGAAGCAGTTTCTTAAGTTTTATTTGTAGTGTAGGGGCCTCATGTGGGGGTCTGATCTCACTTGCCCTCTAATTTTCACATTTGAAGTTTTCTTCTTTCCTTGTCTGAGACACGGAAAAGCTGTATGTTGGAAGGAAATTCTGTTGAATTCCATACTTACAAACAAAAGTGGCAGAAAGTGTCTGCCACACCCCTTATATTACAGCTTCTGTGTATCAATAAAAATTCCATAAGGCATAATTCAATTTCTGCAATAGTATTCCCTGAACTGCTGGGCCAGGGCACAGCTCTACATGCAGACTTGTAACACTCAAAATAATTCAGGCAATATACTTGAATAAATTCTCAGCTTGAAAGCATTTTTTCATGAGAGCAACTCCACCACTAATGTTAAATCCTGGGTGGTAAAGGTTGGATTTACCACACATGTTCCAGAGCTACCACCTGAGATCAGGCAGGTGCACCACCACAAAATGGTAAAACTGCACTGAGGATTGGATGAGCAAGGGAAAGCAGGCAGGTGCACCACCACAAAATGGTAAAACTGCACTGAGGATTGGATGAGCCAGGGAAAGCAAGGGATATTGGAATGTGAAAGGGTTGTGAATATTGAGGTTTCACAAGCTTGATGGGTGTTTTCACACATCCAGGAGGACCAGGGGTGTTACAAGGGTGGTATGTAATGATTCATGGATTCAAGAAACCTTATGGGGTTTACATAAGACATACTTATGTTTCATGTTATGATGAAATTTAAGTCGATGAGGGGAAAATTTGGCGAAGCCAAAAGCAGACAGAAGTCTGAGATAGGTTATTTTTGTACTTAGCCAATCGGGCTTAAGTGCGATTGACAAAGGCTAGGAGGAGGCTAAAGTGTCCTCTTAGGACCAGTTAAAAATAGTAAGAACTGATGATTTAATTCCTTAATATCTAGAGATCTTTAAGTAGTCTAGATACATCATTGATCAACTTGTGGGACAGAGTGATTCATAATGAATAGGAAATAAATTCATAATTAAAAACAAAAAAGAGTGACATGGTTGTGAAATGAAGGAGAAGGGAGATCAATAACAGGTGAAATTCCAACACGCCTCCTGAACTTGATATTGATCGACCGATGTATGATTCACAGATGGAGATCGGGGTATTTCTGTTGAAGATACTCTTCGTCTTCTGGAGTGTAACGCGTGAGATGAGCTGAGTGTTGTTTTGAAGATGGAGCGACCGATTTGGGAGCGCGTTTGTCTGGGTGCTTTTGAAAACAGTTGGCCTCGGGGTGTCCGCTTTTGAAGAAGTGAGAACATGCTCGGAATCCACGTTTGCAATGAGGACAGACGACTTCGGGATCGGAGGATTGAGTGTACAGCGTGGTTTGAGGTGTAATCGCTGCTTTCTTAACCTCGTTCAATTGATTTTGTGAGGCGTAGTCTTCAAGTTTTTTAAGAACCGACTCGAAGGCTTCGGTTTCAAAGTTCATTGATATATTGGTCTTGAACGAATGAAAATCCTGAGGCAACTTATCAAGCATCAATATTGTTTTGACTTGGTCATCCAGCGCGAGTCGAGAGAGAACAATCTTCTGATTTGCGGATCGAATAAGAGGTAGGAAGGTCAAAAACGATTCATACTCGATGGCAAGGAACTTCTTGAGGGCTGTCGTTCTGGAAGTAAGATCGCTGCCGGCATACTTCTGTTTGAGGAGTTGCCAAAGTTTGTATCCGTTGAATTCATCGGTCTCGGGTAGTGTGGTACTGACGTAAGCGAGGATTTCTTGATTGAGATGTTGGACAATTTCAGCATACGCATCTTTGTTGAGCTTGACGTAGAGTCGGGCGTTTTCTTTGTCTTCTTTAGGGTCAGGACAGGTATGCTCGCCAGTGACGATGGTTAGTGATTTTGCTTTGTGAAGTTTGGCTTTCATTGGGAGCAGCCAAAGAGCATAATTGTTGGGAGTGAGAAGAATTTTTGATTTGCGAACTACTTCGGTAGCCATACTGAGTTCGAGCGAAGTGGGATCGTAGAGAAGTGAGAGTTGAGGTTGGAAGGTTGTTGAGGTTGAGAATTGAGGAAGGTCAGTCGATTTCAACTGTTAATCGTGATGAAATTTAAGTCGATGAGGGGAAAAGTTGGCGAAGCCAAAAGCAGACAGAAGTCTGAGATAGGTTATTTTTGTACTTAGCCAATCGGGCTTAAGTGCGATTGACAAAGGCTAGGAGGAGGCTAAAGTGTCCTCTTAGGACCAGTTAAAAATAGTAAGAACTGATGATTTAATTCCTTAATATCTAGAGATCTTTAAGTAGTCTAGATACATCATTGATCAACTTGTGGGACAGAGTGATTCATAATGAATAGGAAATAAATTCATAATTAAAAACAAAAAAGAGTGACATGGTTGTGAAATGAAGGAGAAGGGAGATCAATAACAGGTGAAATTCCAACATGTTATGAAGTGCTATGATGTCATTCTGAGGTTTTGTATTCTCAATTTTAGAAGCACATTATGACATCTTGTATTCATTTTAGCTTTGTTCCTGTTTTCTATTGATTTCATTATTTGATCAATTATTATTTTTTTATGGTTGTTATTTCTGTCAATATATATTATATGTTACCTTCCTTCCTCTTCTCATTGCACTATTTATTGTTATTTAGACCCCCTCAGATTTAAAATCCTAGAAATAATGAACTTATCAAAAATCAATATTATTTGATTAACTTTGTAAGGACTGAGCTGACCAGAATTCAACACAACCCATTGCACCAAGCTGCTAAGGTGGGGGCATACCTGCACAAAGGACTTTATAATTCTTCACAATTATTTCTTATCATTGAAATCAATTTTGAAAGAATTATAAAATTTTGAGAGCAGAATAGTCTGATCAAATAGATGATTTAAGATTAAGTGAGATGGGAGGCCTATGGAGTTCAGGTGCATAGAGAAAATTAGTAATTTTAACCAACAAGGAAGTGTATCTCTCCAAAATGGAAACTCAAAGCAAAGCAGGACTTCCTTTGTTTTTGGAAGTGATAGTAATGCTGTCAGCTCTGTGTATGCTACACTGGTTTAAATAATATAAACCCGGGTGCAATCACTGTGCTGAAGGACTGTCAAAGAAAACGCTTACTCTTTTTCACCCTTTATATGTGGTCCAAATTCCACACTCCTTCAAGCTTATTTGTTTCTAATGAACCAAATAACAGGAGATTATAACAATTAATAAATTGTTATAGTTTGGATTCTAAAGCAATAATAATTGCTAAGAAGCATATGAAAAGCACTTGAGCTGATTGGCTACTTGTCAGAGGTGGTAGTCTTGCAGCAACTGCTTTATAAGGAATTTTAGTGAGGGATGAAAGGGGAATTTCAAAGTTACACACTAATAATTCCAGTAGTAAAAGGTTGATTGGGATTGGGATAACTACTCTAAAAGTAGGAGGAGAATATTCACTGTACTCACTAAGTATTCTGTTGGTGAATATGCTGAGGAACCAATCTTAGGCCATGAATGGCCTCCTTTTATATTCTAGAGTCCCCCTTGGGGGCATTCTTAGAATATTCTAGAATGTTTATTTAATGCACTACAATAGTAGTTCTTCTCAAGATGTAATGAGAATATTGTAGTAGATTAAATACAGTATTATCTATGTCCCCATGACATCATGATGCATTGTTATAGCCAATTACATCATGTGTCTACTTATAATAGAATAATACTGATGGAAATTACCACACACTTAACAAAGGTGGTAATTTCTACACTTTGAATTATATTTTAAATTTATAGTTGTAACTATAAATTTAATATTTGTTTTTTATCTTTATTTTATATTATTCTTAGAGTATTTTGTATTTTTATTCCTACAAACCTCTGAGGCTCTTGAGTTATGACAAAGTCCTAGAAGGAGTAGGAATTTGGGGGTGGTTCCAGTGAGCAACCCCCTCTAAAATATTATGAAAAGTTCATTTAGAAAATAATATTCTAGGTTTTCTTATTATTATTACCAGTAATATATTATTAAGCAGTCTTTTGGATACTCTTGAGGATCTATAAGGCTGACAAGTGTCAAGAGATTCTTCACTAAGATGTCTAATTGAGGCATTTAATGTTTTTTTTTCTCTTCTTTTTTACCTTGCCAGTTCAGATCTCCCAGAAACCTTTACTTCAGAGGTAAGCCTTCATCCTAACTGAACACAATGGATATTTGAGTTTGTCAAGTTTAGGAATCAACAATTTGGTTTACTTTTCCTCAATGTCCAACATTTTGTGATTGTTTCCTGTTTGTATTCAAAATGAGCACTGTACAATGGAGGACTTCCCGTCGCAATTTAGAAGGCTTTTTAGACCTCTCTCAGTCCTAAATTAACAACACAATCAACATTTCAACCAGCTCAGGTGACAGTGATTGCTGGAAGGCTCAAGAAAAAATATTTTTGATGTTGAAAAAATTAGATCTAAGGGGTGTAAATTGACTTCTGGGAGAGTCGCAGATTGCAACGGGAAGTCATCCAATATTGTGGTAAATTTTAGCTAAATGAAACAGGAGACAAAGAAGGATGATAGAATGAAGAAGAGAGTATGAAACTGTCACAAGACCAGGATGAAATACTCAGAAAGACAGAGCAAAACTGTTAGATATATATGCAACAATAAAATAAGATAAGAAAATAAGAACCTGTGAGAGTTGCCTAGATGTAGGAGCCTTTACAAGATAGAAACCAGAAATTAATAGCTGATGGTGATGTAAATACTTTTAGCCAAGGTTAAGAATAATAGATATTGATAAAGAAAATGAGATTGATGATGATCTTCAAAAGAGGACGAGTGTTCAAAAGGAGCAAGATAGACAGTCAACAGGAAAAAGATCAACAAACAGAGAGAGGAAAGCAAGGTACAAGGTCAACAGAAAAGAAAAGAATAAAACCGGATAACTGCCTTAATAAGATCACACTCCCATGACATCACAAATGTATGTGCCACAACAATTGACTTAGCTGACCAGAATACAACAACCATATGTGTCAGTGACATAATAGGCTAACTTTCTCACCTTTGGCAAGTTATACTCTGGGATAACTCCATAGCCCTATGAGTCTGTGATGCAAAAGGCTAATACCCACATGGTAGATCTACAATCTGAGTACATTTTTTTGGACCTGGGATGTTGTTTACCACCTTGTATAGCACCCACAGTGGCGGGGTGTTTTGGGAATTGGGGTTGGGGCTTACCACCCTGAGTCACCACACATGGTGGAGTTGCTATGAGATTTGAGAGAACACTGGAAAACCCCCATATATGTGGGTAACGTAAAATCCAGAATTTTGGCACAATTCATACATTTTTAGAGCCCATTCATACACATTTGTGCCTATTCTCAGAGGATTTCCAAATTTTGAATACATTGTTCATGCCTAACATTTTTCTTCCTCTGGGAGCAACACTGGGAGGTTACGCTACCAGTAACGGTAGCGTAACGATAACGCAAAGAAACCAGGGCTGTTAGCGTTGCAATAATCGCAACGGCCTTTCCGTTACGTTTTATTTTTTAATTTTTCTTCCTTTTTTTTGTTGTTACGTTATCCACAGCGCAAAAAGGTCGATTAACAAATGAATAACTAGGTCAATAACGCAGATAACTTGTTGTTTGCGTTATTTTTCTGGGTAACGAGGGGAGAAACCCCCTTCGTTACGTTACTCATGACCCAAAACCCCATTTTGTCTGGATAACGTTAAAGGCGTTATCTGGACAGCTGGGAAGTTACGTTACGAAAATCCCTTCGGATATCGTAACGTATGTAACTTCCCAGTGTTGCTGGGAGCACAGCAAATTTTTTGCAAATAGCCAATTTTGGTAGCATCTGGTTTGGCAGGTGCAACAAAACAAAAAGAACAGCCACAAAAGTAAAAAAGTATGGTATTATCATATGTCTAACTTGAGTTGTACAGTCTCCTCCCAGATGTTTATAGCCATCTGTTTTTAGCTCCACACCAGGAACTCAAGAATTTCAAGTCACAAGATTTTGTGGAATGGTGGAAAATGGGTCTCAAAGAATGAATATGAAAAAATAATGATGATAAACAAGATTATGAAAGTTGTAAAAAGTAAAAAGGAGAAAATCTGTCAGGCGCGGTGATGCCAAGACAGTAGGTCTTCTAGCTACACTGGCTGATAAGGCTGGTTTGGTATGGGACGAAGAAGAGATAATTTGTAAGGTCTGGATATGAAACTAGAAGGAAATTCTAGTACTATTCCTGTCCTAATAAATTTTTGTTAGTAATTTTATATTAATTTTTAAAGTTTAAAGTGTATTTAAACTTACAAAAAAAGGGGATTGTTGGTTAAACAATCAAAGAAATTATAACCTCACAATATTACTTGTTAAGAGGCCTAGAGTTGAGTGTTAATCAATACTCTGAATTCCAAAGGAGGAATTGAGGAAGAGTGAATTGTTTGTTAGACAATAGATCACAAGGAGTTTGTCCAAAAAGGTCTTTTGGATGAATTGAGGATTCCTGGGCAAGTTCTAGAGCAATACTTCTGCAACAGAAAGTAAGAAAATGGCCAATTTTAAAGGAATAAAGAGCTGGGATCTTTTAAGGGCAAAGGCTACAGGTTAAGACTGGAGGTAGAAGTAAAAGAGGAGCTCTGTTTCGTGGTTAGAATGCTAAGGTTGATAAGAGAAATGGTTGGAAATGCTGGCTTCAAGTATATAGTCAGGTATATGGTGAAGTGGGTGAATTTCTGAGGTTTAAGCACTCAATAAAGGAGTCCTTATATAGCCACACACCTGAGGGTGGCTTACAGTGCACTTTTGCACGATGACACTGATGCTTTGGGCTTGTTTGGCTGGGTGGAAGCCATGCCCAAGGCCTTGGTTATCAGTATCCCAAAGGCTGAAACAGTTGTAACTGTAACCACGGGTACAGCTACCCAGTCAGGAAGTAATGATGCAATGCCAAGTTATTTCTAGGGTTCTATATTCCCAAAGGAGACTTTTTGTTTCGTCTCCAATCCATTTTGGAGGGATTTGGTTGAGGTATTCTGATATGTACTGGCTGAGAACAGGTTAAACTACTTGGGCCAGATTGAAATGGGCCAATTCTCAACCCTGTTGATTTCAAACTGGACCAGGGTTTTTCTGGTGGACGGCTGATGTAAGAGGATATTCTGAGTTCGCTCAGGAAGTTTATTAAGGTTAGGGATAAACAAAACAGGTTACATGACCAAGTGGCTGGTCAGGGTTCAGAATATGTAATGGTTAACAGATCTCTACCGAGCTAGGAAGGTGGGGGAGACAATGAGGTTAAAATTCGAGTCAAATTTGGGAATGGGTGATCTTGTTGTGACAGGTTTGTGAACCCACAGGACAAGGGGTTACTGGTATAAAAAAAACTAGGGAAAAAAGCAAGGAATAAGAATATATTTTTTTCAAGCAGGGAAGTGGGCCCATGAAGGGGGGCTGCAGTACACTTTCATACATCTTGATTAATAACCTCCCTTCCCCAGTAACATTTACATACATTTGAAATGAGTATGATTCTGTCCAAAAAGGCCATTCATACCACTTGTCATAACTACCATTTTGAGGTTTGGCCCAAAAATCCATAAATTTACATTACCCATATAGATGGGAGGTTTCCAGGGTCCTGATGTGAGTGAAGAGTTATATTTGATCCAAAAGCCACAGAAAAATCAAAGAGCTTGTGCGGCCAAGCCATAATAACTCAAAGCCTCCCATTTGGAATATGTAGGCAATGCTTTGCAGCCCCGGTCCCACTGGGAGGTTCAGTCAAGTCAGCATGAACCCCCCACTGCCACCAGGGATTCGGGTGAAGCCCCGGTCCGGGGTTCACTTCTCGGGACAGCCCTTCAGGCCCCCCCGAACCCCGGCACACTGCCTTACTGGCAGTGAGCATGGATCACGGTGCTCTCAACTCACTTTCCACGGAATTTGGTACCACCGACTCCAAACTTACATCACATCCTGATCATTCCAATGAAACTCAGCAGAACCTCGAATCGATACTTGGGTCGAAGCTCATCAATTGCTCAGGCGGCTTTTTTCAACCACATTTCCAGATTTCAAAACACCCTTGCCAAGCGTCCCCCACCGTTATCAACTTGCTTGGCACATGACATTCATAATACATAGAACAGAGAGACGTCAGACTGGAATTTCCCATTGCTTCCCATGCATAGCATGAGAAAATGCACGGCGTTCCAAGGTGAGCAGAAGAAGGCGTGTGTACTTTCTACTGGTTTACCGCAGCTCGTCCTCATGTTCACTGCTTCGTTTTGCAATCTAGACATCTTTGATATTGCTGGAATCGGCCGTGTTCGATCGGCTTCAAGAAGCACTCTGATCCCTCTCGAAACTGCGGCGGAATTCATCGGTTATGACTTTTGATCAATCGCTGCACTACTACGGCCAAGTCCAACAGCCGATTGGATTTGACTTCCAAGTATCACCACTGCCATCTACGAATTACCATCCACCATCTCTTACCAGGGTTTTCAAGAATGCATCTATCAGTGTGCGAGGGGCGACCACTCCGGGCAGATGTTCGCTATCCTATCATGCCGACGATCCCTTCTCGGTCTGGAATCCGTTCGATCAGTCCCGCTTCAATCTCACGGTTTGCTTCAAGTATTCGCTCTACCTCATCCCGTTCTTAGTCATCCTCGTCAATGGCTCGCTCGATCCCTACAAGCTCTCCTCCCGGCCGGTCATCCCACCCAAGTCGACCAGCCGGAACCTAATCAGGCTCTCCGAATTGACTTACATCAGCAAATTGCTGCTGATCCTCATTGTCTTGGTCATCCAATTAGCTTACTCGTCCATCCTCTTCCTCCGATCTGGCTGGTGGGATCCCGTCGAGTCTCTCTCCCAGCTCGTGGTCTTAGTCAGCCTGTTGTATGCGATCCCATTACATCATCTTTCACACCAGCGATCCCAGCGGTCATCAACCAGTCTGCTGTTCTTCTACCTCTTCTTCCTCATCACCTCGGCCATCGAACTTCGCTCTCACCTCGACCACTCTTTACTTCACCAGCACCCTCATCAAACCAGCTTCCTCATCCTAAGATCCTCACTGGTCACCGCCCTCTTCATCCTCGAGTGTCTCGGACCATTCAAGTATGGTGACCACGTCTTCTCTTTTGGTAAGGATGGCTACGAGGCTTTACCCCAGGACGACCCAGCGCGAGCAGGTTCCGATCTGGCTAACCACCGCTCGGAATCGCCGTTGATTTATGCGAACGTGTTCTCTCGGCTGACGTTTGGATGGATGACGCCGATGATGAAGCTGGGTAAGAGCCAGTATTTGACTGAGGACGACTTGTGGATGTTGCCACGGGAGGACCAGACTGATGCCCTGACAAACCGACTCCACCAAACCTGGAGACGCCAGATATCACGAGCTTCCTCAAGTCCTTCGTTAATCCGAGCCATCGCACAAGCTTACGGTGGACCCTACCTCCTCGCAGCACTCTTCAAGCTGATTCAGGATGTCCTCCAATTTACTCAACCGCAACTCTTGAGGCGCCTGCTTAGCTTTGCCGATTCCTTTTCGCCGGGCAGTCAACCCGAGCCGGTCTACCGTGGTTACATGATTGCTGGCCTGATGTTTAGCTGCGGGTTCACTCAAACTTTATTCTCGCACCAATACTTCAACCAAGCTTTAATTACCGGGAACAGAATTCGTTCGAGTTTGATTGGGGTAATCTATCAGAAATCATTGATACTTTCAAATGAAGAAAAGTCTGGCAGGGCCACGGGAGACATCGTTAACTTGATGTCGACAGATGTCAGTAGGATCCAAGAAGGTTGCACCAACGGAATCATAATTGTCTCAGGCTTGTTCCAAATTATTCTGGCTTTCGTCAGTCTGTATAAATTGTTGGGGTGGCCGATGCTCGGTGGGATTGTTGTGGTACTCTTTAGTATTCCACTCAACATTAGTTTGAGCAGGCTTCAGTCAGGGCTACAGAAACAACAAATGGACAATCAAGATTCGCGGAGCAGGCTGATGAACGAGATTCTGAACAACATCCGATCGTCAGTCATCTTAACTTGTCATCAACTTGTACCCAAGAAAGTAAGTTAGCTCACCAAACTGAATTCATCTTTCTGGGGATTACTTGGCTTGCAGGATCAAGCTATACACTTGGGAAAACACATTTACCGACAAGTTATTCACCATAAGGAATGAACGGGAGTTAGGCGTGCTCAGAAAAATTGGGTACTTGTTGTGTGCGAGCATCTCACTATGGAATCTGTGCGTAATGATTTTCTCTCCTGGCATTGCAACCTCAGTCCATTGAGGTGCTTTATTTTCCCCGCCGTCAATGCAGTGTTCCGTT